GCCTTACCAAAATAATTCCAGGTTAAAAAGCCTGCATGCGTTCCACCAAAAAACAATCCAGAGATACATGCCAGATTTCCCGACATTTTCAAATGTTTATTTCTTACGCGTAGTAAACCTTCGCGTAAACGGAGGCGTGCTCAGTTGCTCCAAGTATGCACCCGCGACCAAGTCCGGGTCATAAATTCGGACCGGTACTTCTGCGTTTGATGTCGCACAAACGGAGCACCGTAGGTCACGACGCTAGGGACCGGTGCACATCATGCGCCCGGGTGGCCGGCTGGATACTCTTCGCTCGGGTGTAGGGGGGTCAATTTGACCCCCCTCCCCCTCCTGAGATCTCGGAACTAAGAAAGCTAGAGACACCAAATTTGCAGCGTGTCTCGACCTGTACGTGAACTCACTTAAGTCAAATTGTGAGGCTCCTTGGTCATGACCTTCGGGTCAAATAAAGTCAAACGAGGTCAAATTCTAGGTTGGTCGCCAAAGTGCCCTCAGAACCTAGATAATTATTTTTAGGTGAAAAGTCACAACCTCGTATAAGGTCAGGGACCTTGTTTGATCTTTTGAAGGTCATGTGACCAAAATCAAACAAGGCTGCTCCAAGTTTTGCAGTTGAATGAGCGACAAAGGTTACACTTGGCGTTATGTTCCTAAAAACAAAATGTTCACCTGGGTCATTTTAGGTCAATGACCTGTTCTGACCTCTAAGAAGCTTATGGAAGATGTATAAGACGGTTCCTGCTATCAATAAACCCGAAATGAGCACAAGAAACCATCCCATATAGCAAGCTTCATAGTAATAAACCAAGTTGGTTTTGACCTTGGTTTGACCTTCATACCTGACCTTAGGTCAACGTAAGTTGGTTATCCAATATTTGAGTTGCCTAAGAAAGCATCTCAGAGATGTATGGTTTCGTCCAACACTTCGTTGTTGCATCAGATTGAACGATTCCCTAGAAATTGCCTTCGATGAAACCATGGCCTGACTTTGATGTGCCATAGGTCAGTGACCTTACCAGGTAAATTTAAATTTTAATGCCAAACAATCCGCTATTCAATTGTCTACAGCCATGCAAAATTTGGCGCGGCGACGCCGCGCCGTTCGGAAACCATTCTGGAAAAACCTTCGGGGGGTCAATTTGACCCTCCCCCACCCGAGCGCGTGTTAACTGGGGGATGAGAAACAAACATAGTGCCCCTCGTTCTTTATTTGGTGGGATAAAAGTTCACTTTTACAGTTGCACACTTCCCTTCGGTGTAAGTAATAAATTTGAAGCCATTTCAATTCAGACCATCCCATACTGGAATGGGATATCAAGTCTCGAGTTATGAAGCATCCAGGATGCTTGAAAATAACACACTCCCTGTCGCGTTATAAGTCATGCAAAGCGTAAGTTATTTGCGCTGGTGTAGCTGACTTCCAATTCCCAATTTATTTGTTGTGGCTTCCGCGGGAGATAAAGTTCAGAGCATTTGCTAGGCAGAGTTTGTTTTGTTTGTCGTGATGCCACCACCTTAAATGGTCTAGCCCAGCTCATCTGATAATGATGTGTTGACCTAATCAGGCGGACAGGACAGCAAGAACACCGTCTTTGTGTTCCACATTTGGATGCGTTAAATCCGTTTTAAGCCCAATCCAGCAGTCTTTAATCCTTGTAGGATAAGTCGATAGAATTTCTGCAATATTTTCGACGGCAGTGAGGCGCTACCAGCTGACTCATTTGCCTCATGACTCATTGCACAAAACAACAAATTCTTTAAATGTTGGCGTTGATAACGACAAACTTAACACGCGCCCGGGTGGCCGGCTAGATACCCTTCGCTCGGGCGGGGGTCAATTTGATCCCCTGATATCTCAAGAACTAAGAGAGCTAGAAACACCAAACTTACAGGGTGTGTTGGCCTGTATGTGAACTCACTTTAATTAAAGTTTGAGGTTCCCAGGTCAAGAACTTCAGGTCAAATGAGTTCAAACAAGGTCAAATTACAGGTTGGTCTCCAAAGTGCCTCCAGAACTTAGTTAATTGTTTCTAAGCAAAAGGTCGCAAGCTTATTTAAGTTAAGTGGCCTTGTTTGACCTTTTGAAGCCCATGGAGACCAAAATCATACAAGACTGCTCTGAGTTTTGCATTTGAATAAGCGACAAAGACTACGCCAGGCAGTATGTTCCTAAAAATGTCGACTTGGGTCATCTCAAACTGATGACCTATTCTGACTTCTAAAAAGTCAGTGAGAGATTCTCATGCGGTTCCTGCTATCAATAAATTCCAAAAAGGCACCAGAATCTATTCCATACTGCAAGCCCTAGAGTAATAAAACAGGGTTGTTTTTACCTTCGTCTGACCTTTATACCCAACCTTAGGTCAACGTCAGTTGCTCATTCAATATTTGTGATGTCTGAGAAAGCATCTCAGAGATGTATGGGTTTGTGAAACACTCCGTTGTTGCATCAGATTGAACGATTCCCTAGAAATTGCCTTCGCTGAAACCATGGCCTGATTTGGACCTGCCATAGGTCAGCGACCTTACAATGTACATCAAAATTTGTTGTATCAAACGATCTGCCATTCAATTTTCTACAGCTATGCAAAATTTGGCTTGGCCACGCCGCGTCGTTCAAAAATCATTCTGAAATAACATTCGGGGGCAATTTGACCCCTCACCCGAGCGCGTGTTAACGTTATTGACCTGTTTTCCCTGTTTCAGCTTGGGCTGGATTCCCAAAGATCATCATCCGATAAGTGCATCGAGTAAATCCCATAACGATCCAGTCTTTCCATTGAGCACGGTGACGGTCTTAGTTTTTAGGCGACTATCTTGAGCGCGTGCCAAATGCCACCTGATGGGTTTTTTCAAGGCCTGACGTCATATGTCGGCAATGCAGCGGCGGTGGCGGCCTAGCGCATGATCTGAAAGCCTGGCGGGTGTATTCTTAAATCGTTGTTGCAAGCGTTGCACGACGGCGAAGTCAGGGGATATCGTTTTGTTCGGACTATTCAGGGCTAAAACCACAAACTTGCCAAACTCCTCAACCACCTGAAGTCTGACCCGAACATGGTGTAGTCTGAGTTTGGCCATCACAATAATCAAAGGTTAATTGTGCCGAACCACGAATACTTTTGCAGTGCTATGTCGAGACTTCAAACGATCCTAGGCTTGTTACCATTTTCAGCAGCGGCAGTACGTATCATGTGACCATTGGACGGTGGCACATATCTTGGGCAGTAACGGACGGAAAAGGAGTTTACCACAGTAGGCATGAGCCTGGCATAAATTCGTATTTATGAAATGCGGAGTTTGTCCTTTATCTGACCCTAACAGCACACGAACCTTTTTCAAGGAAAGTCCAACAAGCCGCTTTTTTATCTCTGAGAAACGCGTACAAGCATAAACTTGGTTTTTGATTTTTCACTTACAAAATTTTAGCTGGTAAAGTTTCAAAGCAGCGATAGAGTGCTGCAGGCAGAGCTTCACCTTGAGGGGACCCAGCTCTACACTGGGCCGAACCCAGGTCAAAACTGCGGGTGGAGGTAGGTGGGCGTGACTGCCAAACGGAGGTACAAAGTTTCACCTCTTACAACACGTGCCGCCCAGTGTGGAACAGGCGCTGGGCAACCGAAGTGGCAGGCGGAGACCCAATGCACCACAATGCACCACAAAAACAACGGCAAATGAAATAAAATGCGGAATAACCATCAATTTTTTCAGGACTTTTTAGGTTTTAGGGTGTTTTCGGCAGGGTTTTTTTAATGTTATTGCTAGGGACAACCTCCGTGGTGGATCCTTAAAAAATCCTCACAGCAGACTTAAAAACTGACGATTGGCTACTTTCTTCAAGCCAATCAGCTTCTTACGACACGAACACAACCAACAGTAGCCCACAGCCTTGCACAGAACCCAGCTCATTATCGGACGGCGAGCACTCGAGCCCATCTGCCTGAATTGGCACAGCGCTTTAAAGGATCGTCTCGCAAACTAATCATGTTCATCGCAAGATGCTGTGGCCAGCTACAACTCTTACGATTAGTGATAAGCTTACTTATTTGGTATTTTATACTACTTAGTAGGGAGAGAGTATATTTGCTGAAAACAAAATTGTGAAAACCGCTGGTCTGATGGGTCTCGGAAAAGCACTGTGTCACCACTGATCTGTGACGTCAGCACTGCTATGGTATAATTTGTAGTATATTTGTCACTTGCTAAAAATTATCCTGATGAAAGCTACTATGTTTAGGCGCATCTTGTTGCTCAACTTGCTCATACAGCGAAACGTCAACATTTCACAAATGCTCTACACATGCTCACGCTGCAAGGGTTAGCGAGTACAGATCAATGCCAGGCTTTTCATTTTAGACTAGTTGGGATGGTCTGTCGTAATATGGTTTGGTCTGTTGTAATTTGCTGTCATTTTCGCAATTGTGCTACCGATTGCCTCGCAAAAATATCCGTTTTTGTCACCGACCATACCCGGTATATCAGAAGCTTTTCCATCACTGGTTAGCGGCTGCTGGGCCGGCTTGGTGTAGTTGAGGTGCTGCGATTAGTTTAGGCGTAGCAGTGGTCTCTACCTTTAAGTTGTTTACTTTTGTATTGTGGTGTGACGCAACGACACTTTGGAAAGCTACGCTGTTAAGTCCAATCGAAATGCACAGTGCAGATAATGATGACAGTGGCACCGATCCCACCGATGCCTTCTCGCCTGGTACATGAGTGAAACTAACTCCAACCCTGCGAGGGTTAGCTAGTGGGGTTTGACACATTCCACTGATATGGATATACGGCTGCACTTAGATCTGCCAGGAATAGATCATTAAAAATTCTGCTTTAGGTTATGTAAACCCAAGGTTCAGCCCTCGAATGGCAGTCGTAATCGATACAATACCACCGGGCAGGAAACTAGGCCATTTGAAAACAAGGGAGTATTGTTATCGATTAGCGGTCGCCATGGAAACCCGGTCTTGTCAGTTTTGTCGATGACACTCCGAAGGCGTCTCAGATAGACTTGCGCGACTCGACGGGGCAATCCTTACCAGGGGACTGGGTGGAAGACTAACTGCCCTCGTATTTTATCTGGGCTGGGGACTGGGAGAATCATCATTTTACAGACGTTGAATCACATAATCACTGAAAAATTGGTGGAGCTGAAAACAGCGAAGAAATAGCGCAACTGTAATAGTCGACATGGTTTGCCTCCCAACGGACGAATATATAATCTAACCATTCAGTGGCGGCGAAAGATCTCCATATGTGCGAGCGACGAGAGCAGTGATAAGGATTAACAACGTATCCTCGAAGCCATGTGGGTAAGTTAAACAATTTGGAAAAACTTGATTGCATGCATGATCTTAGCCGGCCTTTGACAGCCTGTTGAGGGGACAGGTGACCAGACCCTGACCCGGACCGTTAGTGTCGCCGCCTCGCGATCACGCACGTGATGCGTATGTACACAGCTGTCATTGTCTGAATAATATTTGTAGATCTGACAAATAAAACTTAGCCATCTCATAATCTTTGTAATCGATTTGATGCTGAAGCGTAAAAGCAAATTTGTGCAAGAATATGACTCCTACCAGACGCTGATATATACTACCAAAATTAAGGTCGGTGGTCACGTACTCTGTGAAACGTGGTGTTCTCTTCGCCTAGAAGAAATATCTTAAAAAGTATGCAAAAAACTTGAGTTAAAGAAGGTGCCAGATTTTGAACACCAAATGGAAAAAACAGACCTTGCAGTCCATACTGGACACGACCTGCTTAGATAGCCATGCGCACGGCTTAAGAGACAGGGCCTGTCGAAAATCGTTGCCGAGTTATACACTAAGTGCGTAGAAAGTTAAGTTCTCTTTCTGCGAGGGGACTCATTTTTGCCATAATCATCAGGATCATTTTTGCTTTAGCATGGCCCAATGAAAGGTAAAGACGAAATCCTTCCATCATGGCAGGGTCCAGTTCATAGCATTAAGGCACAATGTAAGGCGAAAAGTGGCATTTTGTTTGTGCAGGAGAAGTGGGGGACAAAAGTTATGTTTAAGCCTTGCAACTGCTTTCCTTCTCTTAAAAAATATGTTAGAGCCATTTTTGGTGTTGCAAACTATTTTCAACTCCGACTTAATTGACCATCTATGAAAGAAGTTCCGTATTTTTGGTAATCTTTCAAACTTTCCCTCTGGGATTGACTTGCCATTGCACCTGTGTGTAACGTTGCGCTGTCCGAAGATACATTTTCTCGGTACATTTACATAATCAGGCCTCTAAGACATAAAAAGGGCCCACGTGGTTTAGAAACAGAATCTTGGGCCTTCAAGCATTTGTGATTGATAAATTTATGAGCCTAGATAGCGTTTGCAGGTCTGAATTTGGAAAGGGGTTCCTATAACAAGAAAGAGAACCCCTGACCCAAAAGGTCGCACACGACACCATTTGTCCCCCGCCTGGGCGAAATCATGGTTAAGCCAATGTTTTCGTACGTTACGGATAAGCCCTATCAAAATCCTCCCACCCTCCATGCGTCACGCAGATCATTGCCGGCCCGTGAGATGTGAAACTGTCACTTTAAGAGCACAGGTTATTCCAGCCATGGACGAGCATAATGCAAGGCATAGTCGAGTATCTAGTCTTGGTCCAGGCATCAAGTTTGATAAACTTACATGAAATGACATTTGCCTTGCATGGTCTTTCAAATGTTGCACAAGCACAGGTGGCGGTCATGGTGCAGAAAGCATTCACCAATACCTGACGGGCGGTGCCGGTAGTGTAGTGGTCAACGCGTCTGCGTTAACCACTGCGCGTCTGGGAAACCAGTGGTATGGGGTTCTATTCCCCGCGGTGCCCGCACTTCCTGCCAGGGTGAGAGGCAGGCGACGCCATATAGCCTCAGCAGCTGAGTGCGTCGTAAAGCCCCAATTACACACACACACAGAATACCTGACGCGTTATTTGTTTGTTTTTTGTCAAATGAAAGGCAAGGAACTACGAATTCAACTACCCTAAAGTAATTGGTTTCTTCCACCTGTTCGGACATGCGATCCAAAATATGAATGGGGTTATTGGCCTCGTACGCTGAGCGTAGGTAAATGGCTTACAGTTATAGCGTGGTTACTGTGTAGGCAGCAAGACACGCACCATCCAGTGTTGATTATTGTGACGTTTCCATGACCGATAATGCTGCATTGACTCCGACACTGCATTCTGCATTCTGCGTGCGGTGCTGCATTTATGATACACTCATAAGGACTTTTCGCTTTGCTTTATCTTCAGATAATAGCTCATTTCCAGTGTGTGCAGTTTATTCAGTGCATGGTGGTCGTATGCAATGGTGCGTTCAAATAACGCTGCACATGTTTACGACAACGAAGATGTCTGTCTCAGGAGGGAACTGACCCCAATCGTGTAACGGCGGCTACACCATGGGAACGCCTGCACAAGAACTACACGCTGTCTTCGCACCGCCATTCCGTGTATCACTCCGACCCAAGCGCGCCCAGAGATGCGCTGGACTTTGAAATAGAAGCTATATACGACCATGCACTGAATACGTTCACGCCAAAGCATTTGATTCTTGTTCACCATGAAACCTGCGGAGACGGCGAAAGAAGGTAAAGATTAACGGGAAAAATAAAGATGTCAGCTGCCAACCAGCCGTCAGGAAATGAAAACCACGTTGTATTCACCGATGCTTAATATTAAGGGCATGCTGGAGAGCTCCAAATTCGCGTAGGTTAGGTGGTGGGAAGTCAGAATGCAAGCTGCGCTTAGCTCTCGAACTGTGGGATGTTGTGGTATGCGAGCGTTTTTCTCGCTGCGCTATTTTCGCACTACCTTTCGCTCCAGCTGCCCACGCACGCTCCGGTCCTTCCAACTCCGGAGAGTGCTGAGGCTTAGTTTGGGAAGTGTTCCTTAGTATAGTAGAATGCTACTTTCAGACAAACAATTTACATCACCGTTGGTACCATGCATCGTCTTGCCCGTGCAACACTGCCGCTCGGGTGTGTGTAACCCGCCTATATCTGTACCCTCAGCAAGGTGCTGAAGCACCGTGTCAAGTACATAGCGCCGAAGCCGCCGCTACTGGGACACCCGCTGCGCGTGGAGTGCACGCAGCAGCGCATCCACCCGTGCTCTCTGCGGCTCGCCTGCGAGAACCCTCACACTACGCTCACCAACGCTGGGTTCTCGCGCAAGCCGAACGGCGGCACGTTTGCTACCTGAGCGGTGGGACGTCGGGCGCATCGGGACCGACGCGGCCCGGCGAGCACCACAGCGGACCGGACCACCGCTGCCTGGCGACACCCGGACGCGTCGACCGAGGGCGGCGCGGTACAGTATCACTTCCATGATGGCAACCGACATTTTGACACAAATAGACGGATTGACGAAAAAAACAATAACAGATGAAGTCGGGTCAGACGCACATTGCGTAAGGTGGTAAACAGTGTATCGGTCGGACAAATCGTGTGTGCACTGGACGGATATAACGCGACAGCATCGCTGTCGAAAAATTATTGAGTTTCGTGGTTGAGAAAATATACCGAAGCATACAAAGGCGTGTTTTCGGATAAAGGGTATGCGTGTTGGAATCGTTGTGATCTTTGTTACAAGAGGCGCCCGCCGGACTCAGGCTTGGCAGTCTAACGATATCGGACGACGGAAACACAGCTCGAAGGGCTTTCCAAGGCGAGAACCCGTCCGCACCGGTCAGCGGAGTCGACGAGTGTCTAATTTGCGAGTTGCAAGTCTTCCTGCACGTCATGAATGATGACATGAGGAAAAATGGCGGGGAAAACCACCAAGAAGCAATTGATCGTATCGGGTATCAGGTTTCTTTTTGACGCTAGATGGCAGGCCAACTCGAAAGTGTTTTCCACGCACCATGCTCAGAATGTTTCGATTGGGCTTATAAATAAAATCCATTAGAAATAACTTGAATTAGAAAATCACACGAACGTTTTTAATTGTTCCTCAAGCGCTGTTTTGCGCACCAGCATTGCCTTAGAGGGCATTCCTCTATGTAATTGATCGTAAGGTATGGACAAGATTATGTTTGACCAGGGGGAGATGTTAAACGGCGCTACGTAGATTAGCATTACAAAAATATCAACACCTTATCGCATTGTAATTCTTATCAGACAAGGACATCCAAAGAAACCAAATCGATCGGCATACAGTTTGTCCGCGGCAACAAAGTCCGAGTTTACGTCCTTGTAGCGGCAATATGGCTAACCGCACGTAAACAATAACAATCATGTTCATTTTCCGTTGAGAAATAGCTGATGACACCACTTGATGATGCTCGGCAAAATATTTGTTTCATGTCTAGAAGCAATCCATCACAGCCATGAATCAAACTTACCTCTCCCTCCCCCCTCCTCTCTCTCTCTCCCTATCTCTCTCTTTCTTTCTCTCTTTCTCTCTTCCTCTCTCTTATGGGATATTTGAAGTGCGCGAATGACTGATAGCCTGACATGGTGCAAAAATGCCTTCTGTACAGCTGTTCACCAAGTTCATGGGCACATTTCTAGTTACAAATTAAGCACGGCTTGCTAACACCTGCGGCGGTTTATCTTACCTGTGGTTGAAGTCGAACGTTGAGCATAGGCATCACTTCATTTACAACTTTGCGATCAAGCTGAGTGGTGGCACCAGGACTAGCTGAATCATGGCACGAGGGAGACCCATCACCCATACTTTCACTGCGCTGCTGAGTTCGACATCGGGACTCAGCTGTGAATCTGCGCGGGTAGACTGTGTAGGACCTTGAATAACTTGATCTGGTACGTACACAAATGTATCCTTCAACCGTTTTGATCTTCCTGAAAATCGCACAGCTGAATTCATGGCGTGAGACAAATTTTTTGAAAAAATTATCTCAAAGTATAACATAGGGGTTTCTCTGGCCTTGTCGATTCATGGTGGGATTGATAGAAACTTAGACGATCGAATCGACGCTTCAGGAGTCGGGTGTACTACTGCGTGAACCACCCCCGTTGTCCCGAGGGCCTGCCGCGTGCCCGGCTGCCTGCTTCTCCGCACAGGTTCGTTTTAAGCCCGCTACGGTTATGATACAGAGACATCTAGCGGCAAAGTCACATAATACAGTTTTATTCTTCCCCGCAGTAGCGTGCATTTCATCTCTCCACCACACTGACATTCCAAGGTCAGACGAATGACTAGAGCATGACGTCACGCCATGGTAGGCCTGGACCGGCCGCCGGCTGGATGGTGGGGAGGCGGGCGGTGGCTCGCGACAGGAGCGGGGGCGGGAAGCGCAGAGCGGTGGAAGTGAACTGCAGGTTGCGAAACTCAGCCGCCACCTGTGGACGCACACCCAGGTTAGTAAGTTGAGCCCAGCTGTATGGACCCTGCATCTAGGTAATTAAAAAAGCGGCGGTCTGAACGCAGGTTGCGGGAAAGTGTTGTCATCGGCCCATGACGGAGTCGGCGCCTTGCAGCTTTGTAGGTGCGGCATGGCATGTGCTGTTTCCAGTTGATCGGCACAACATCGCCTTACGTTAAGCAACGCCTTCATGGTATTCGTCCTTTGTGCATCACTTGTTCAAAAAGCCACGCCATGATAACTCCGCGCTTGGTGCTCACGGCATTTTGGTTCAGGCGTTGTCCTCATCGGGTCTTTACGATGCACTCAGCTGCTGAGACTGTATCGTGCCGCCTCAGCCTGCCTCACATCCTGACAGGAACCGTGGATACAGCGTCAGTGGAACTTGTGGTCTCCCATGTGCGCAGCTTGACCATTACAGGGAATGTTACACGTTTGAGGGCATTGAAGCAAGCATGGCATGTGATGAAAAAGGTTCACTCAGCCATTGGGATACCTTTATCTTAAAAAGGCTGCTGTAGACAACAATTTCTTCAGTCAGTAAATATACTCCTTAATACGTCACCGTGTAATTGCGTCATCGGACCTTACACAACATCGATTGAGAGCCAATTGACGGCGCAATAGCTGGAAATCCTGCTCCCGTCGCCAGAAGGAACGACTCTACAATTATAGTTTTGGCCTTGATCGCCGCACGGCCATTGGAATAGCAGGATTTTAATGGTGTTATTATGGCGTCATAGATGCCCATGTGGCCTTTAAATAGTCTGCATGAAATATTCTACCCATCTTCGCAGGCGTGTAGCTCAGGAACTACAGAGGTTTAGGTCTTAAGGACAGGGCTGTGAACTGTACCGAATGATCTCCAAGATGGCTATTTCAGTTCAGAGCCCCATGCAAATGGAAAACATCCCCCTCTAAACAGAGTGCTCCTCATTTACAGGGGGTTTGAACTGAAACGGTCAGTTTGATGATCATTCGGTGCAGTTTACAGCCCCGCCTTTCTGAATGTGTAATCCTCTTTAGTGTCTGGGCTACACAACCGGGGAGATGTGCAGCCTATTTCGGTAAGACCATTCCAAGGTCACCCAGTCGTCCATGACACCACAATAACGTCGCTCAAATTCTGTCACTCTGTTGGCCTTTGGGCGGCCAAGGTCAATAAGTGTATACTTGTCGAGTCGTTCATATTTGGCTTCATGAGCACGATTTCCAGATACAACGACCTGCCAATTGGCTTTCAGCCAATGTTTTGCTGGGCGCGATGACGTATTGAAGGGTGTATTTACTAAACAGAGAAGTTGTGTTGTCTAGAGCAGTCTTTAGCATTCCATTCAACTATCTGTACCTTACTTTGGTTTATTTCCGGCTTGGTTGCGCCGCAGCGACGACCAAGGCCTCTGTAATAGCAGGTTGGGCGGCAGGATTTATACTGAAGCATAATAGGTTTCCAATTGGTACCGGTTTGGCGATCTGATATATCAATTGCAGTCAGTGGTTGGAGTAATAATAAGCTTTGATGGCAGTTTGTGAAAACATCATCATTTGTCTATTATCATAATATGAAATGAGAAACTTGTAGAAAAGCATCTTTAAGAGTCAAAAATGTGACGAAATGTGGCAACTGACGCAGTTAACCGAATATTGGAGCTGCTTAACTACATTGGCTCTGCTGGCAACATACAGGACAACATAGGCATTTTACTCCGTTTATTGTTCATCGCCCTTGTTGAATATTTGCGTCCAGGTACCCACTAGTCTGATATTTATGCAATCCTTTTCCTTAATTGCGTGTTGCGTAGCCAAAGAAGGAAAAACCATATTTTTAGACCCCGTACGATTGTTACATTCAAATTCGTAATGGAACGTCTATAAGAAAGTGTTGGTGTCCATTGAGACAGGAGTTGATTTGATGTGCCCCCCCCCCCCCTCCCCCGCCGCCCCCTGTCCCTCTCTCTTGTGTTCTAGTCTGGCACAGCCTGTGTATTGTATCCAGCTATAATACCATTGCAGCCTTGCTGGTGCTGCGCCAATGCCCGGTGGCCAGGAACGCGGAATGAGTTGTGGGGTGATTGGGGGGGGGGGGGGGGGCTGAGCAATGGAAGTGATGCTCTCCGCTCCCATCACATGCCAACAAACTAGCTTCTTCCTGTATTTGGCTCTCTTTGTCTGAACGTTGGGGAGGGGGCTGGAGCCGAAGTTGAGAGAAGTCGGGAACCCAGCCCCCTCGCCTGACTGAATAGAACACTGCGCCCGTACCAATGGGGGCTAGGTATGTCTCAAGTAGTGCGTGGTGTCTGGGATAACCCCCTCCAGCCACACACTGGACAATGTTCTTACTTATCTTATGATCGTACCGTTACTTAAAATGTCACAGAACGTGTCATTTGGGCCACACCATGGATGCATCTTGGCATTTCATCGTAATCAGCTGCATAACCAATATTTTTCCACATGTTGGAGGGGACCTGATTAGTTTGTAACTCATTCAACCCCATCTTTGGTGCCTCAAACGTTGCACTTGCCTATATTTGTTTGCCTTAGAGAGGGCAAGACAAACACTAAGACCTTCAAGCTCAGTGCTTTGGTAATGAGTTGATAATGCTTGTTGCCGTGTCATTCGGCCTCTGGGGTGGGTGTTTCACCTGGCTTTCAGGTGATGGCAGGTACTCCGTGGTCCTCCATTGCCTGTTTCAATGGCCAGCATAACATAAGTTGAATTCAATCAGCAATTCATTCAATTCAATTCAATTTAGTAAATATGCTCTTAAACACGTCATTGTTGACGTCGTATCTTTCACAACATTGGTTGAGATCCAATTGACCGCTGTTGTATCTTGAAATCATGCTTACTAGCGCCAAGTATGAATGACTCGACAATCGCATTTGTGTTGGCCGTGATCGCTGCACGGCTAATGAAATGGCAAGATCTGAATGTCGTTATTTTAACATGTGCCTGCGTGACCTTGTTGACCGTGACCATTAAGGTGATGATTTAAAAGTGTTTGTCGTGCTACCTTCAACACGTAAGTGCCCCGGGACACCCTCATGTTGACGTCACCTTAGATGGCCAAATCTAGTCCCGACTAGTTTCCGACCCCCACCCCTGTCACCAGTCACCGTGATGTTTCCTTGTGCCCAAGCTCCCAATTATAATCGTTTCTGCCAGCGCATGGGGCCGAGAGCTGGTGACGTCACTGGC